TTGAAGCTAAGAAAGCTGCTAATATAGAATAAATTACAAATATGGTGTTAATTTACTTCTAGGGTTTGATTTTATAAACTAAAGTTATATTCTTTTCTTCTTTATAATGTATAGTAAACATTGTTTTTGGTTCAATTAAATTCATTTTATCAAAAACAAACTGTTTAATAAGACAGATAAAAACAAAAGAATTACAGAGATAAATATTCACTAGAACAAAAGAAGTGTGGCTCCTTGAAAAGAGTCAAACTGACATTCATCTACTGGTTGACTTAGTGGTTGTGAAGGAGAATAGATATATTGCTTAAATTGTGGATCGTTGAGTATTGGGTTAGTGTCTCGTGGTGGTAAAGGGAATGCAAAGTCAGCAGGTGAGACAGTAGAAGAACACGATGATGATGATTGAGAATCATAGCAAAATAATTTTACTGGAAGTGGAATATTCATTTCGCAGCTTCGTCTTCTGGACGTTGTTTGCATATTGTATTTATCTTTTAGTTTCTATTCCCCTTTATATCTCCGACTTTTCTGTTGATCCAATCACGTAATCTTCACTCATCTAAGAAGATCACTTTTATCAAGAAACACAAGATTATTCCGTACATTCTCTAAACCTCTAGTCATTTTCTTTTCGTTTTTGTTTCTTCTCTTTGACTTACTGAAAGTGCAATGTACGGAATGTATTGTTATAAGTAGAGTAATAGTAAGTCAGTACTTTGGTCAAGATAAAATATAGTCTTGTCATTTATTTTGTTTATGTCTTTCATCAAAATCTTGTTCTACCCAGTTTAACAACTGAATTAAACAGAAAGGTTAATGTGTACATATATTAAAAGAACTGTACAAGACATAAGGCATTACTAAGACAAGCTATTTTTTTAATTGAGCAATTTTATTTTATATCACAACTTAAAAAACACACTTAGAAATAAACTTATTATCAAAAATTTAACAACATTCAAAACATGGTTTTTATTCATTCACACATTATTTTTTTGTTCTATATTTCATTTGTTTAATCTGTGTTTATACTAAGACCTTTTCATTACATAATCTTTCTAAATGTTTTAAAAAGTGTTGTTATATTCAGACTCATCAAACAATGTTCGGTTCTATCTGTTTCTTGATAGCCACTCTGTTGTTTTTAATAAAATAATCAAAGAAATAACTATTTACTTTTAATGTCTTGACTAAAAATAATGATAAGAATTTAATTCAAATGAAATAAATTATTTCTTTCATCATATGTGATTTAGTACATTATTAAAAGTTTAAAAACATTAATTTTGATTTTTAATAATTTCTTATTGTTTTAAATTAATTTAATTTTCAATTAAAACTAATACAAAAACAATAAATAAAATAATAAAAACGAAAGCAAACACAGTTTGATAAAATTAAGAATAACCATAGAGAGTTCTTCCTTGTCTCTTAAGGGCATAAACAACATCCATAGCAGTTACAGTTCTTCTTTTAGCATGTTCAGTGTATGTAACTGAATCTCTAATGACTTGTTCAAGGAATTGTTTGAGAACATTACGAGTCTCATCATAAACAGCTCCATTAATTCTCTTTACTCCTCCTCTTCTAGCGAGTCTTCTAATTGCTGGTTTAGTAATTCCTTTAAGTGCATCTTGTTGTGTTTTAGTTCTAATTCTTTTTCCTCCTTTACTTGCTTTAGCCCCTTTGGAACCTTTTCCGAGAGTTACTCCCTTTCCACCTTTACCTCTTCCTGATCCTGTATCCGTAGCCATGTGATTATATCACAGTTAATGATTTTTTAGTTTCTTTCTCCCTTTTTATATCTCTGTTATTTTCTTTTACCATTTTTCTTTTATCATTTTTTTTAACTATACTTAATAATTTTTTTTCTTCTCTTTTACTATCTTTTTTTTTATCTTTTTGTAACTTATTTTGAAACATTCATTTTCTAATTACTCTCTTTTCCCCCAATTTTTCAGGAATAATATCCAACATTTTCTTTGAAAGTTGATGAATTCGGAAAAAAAACCCTTTTTTTTTTTCACTTTTCCTAATGATTCAAACTTGTAAAGAAAAGAGAAAAAATTAGAAACAGGGTTTCTTAAAATAGTAAACTAACTGAAAAACACAAAATATATCAAAAATGTTATCTGTTTAAAAAATAACAACCAACAAACACTCAATGGAAAAGCAAGACCAAAAGTTAGAAAACATAATGAAACAAGAGAAGTGGTGGATGGGTAATAATGGTGAACAAGTACGTGTATTAGCACCTATGGTAGGAATAGTTTGTTCTACTGTCTAATAAAATGAATATAAAACTAATACTTGATACATAGTGTACAGTTAGTTATAGGACTATGGCTCTTGATGCAGGAGCAAATGCTGTATTCACTGAGGAGTTAGTTTCAAAGCGTTTATGTGAATGTAAAAGAGTGGAAAATTCTGGGCTTATTCAATACATACACAAAAATGATGTTATGCTTACATTGAAACCAGAACAACAATCAAAAACAATACTCCAACTAGGAACCTTTGATGTTGAAAGTTCAATTAAATGTGTTTCGTTAATCAAAGAGGTATGTGGAATTGATATTAACTTAGGATGTGGGATGTGGTTTAGTACTAAAGGAGAAATGGGACAAGCACTTGTTAGTAATAGAGACAAACTTGAAAAAATAGTTAAGGCTCTTGTTAAACTAGGCAAACCTATATCAGCAAAAATTCGACTTCAACAAACCCATGAAGAAACATTAGAGTTCATTCAATGGTTGTACTCATTAGGAATTAGCATTATTAGTTTACATGGAAGACACCACAAAGAATTATATGGTGTTGATTGTGATTGGGTAGAGTTAGAGAAAGTGGTCAAGGATTGTCCTTATGATCTTATTCTCAATGGAGATATTTGTAAACAAGAAGATATCACTAAATTACTTTCATTTGGAAAGAATGTTAGAGGGGTGATGATTGGAAGGGCTTCAGGAATACATCTTGGATTATTTAATCCACAAGGAGGGGATTATGTCTTTGATGAAAATAAGACTAAAATGAGAATGACTGACTTTGTTCAACGGGCAATAAGAGATGGATTAAGGTTTACAAAAATCAAATTTGTTCTTCTTCAAATCATCAGGTATGAGAAGGATTATCCATTCGGATCATGGAGAAGAGGAAAAACAACACTTAAACTCAATCAAATGAACCAACGCATTTCTTCATCAAAAACTATTGAGCAATTGATTGACATAATATCTCTTCCTGAGTTGAAGAAAGAACTTGTTCAATCACAAAACACCAACGAGAGTATTGAAGAAGAAAAGAAATTAAAGTAAAAGTGACAAATCATATTAATAGAATATTTTTGTTATTTGAATTTAGTATTTTGTTATTTTAAAATCATACATTTAGATTTAACAACAGTAAATGACTAAGTCTATTATAAATATAAATTATTACCACTGGTTAATTAACACACTTCGTTAAAGTAACTATCATCTTATCATCTTCTTTTTTTATCTACTGTAAAGAAATATAACTCTTATTGTTATACAAATTCAAAGAGAAGAAGATGAGTCAAAGAACATTAAATCTTCTTGAACAAGAAATCTTTTGATTTATTTTTTGAATGTTGATTAAGTTTATAGTTGTTTAAGTTCATTCATAAACTTAAAAGAGTTTTATTCTATTAGACTATTACAAAAGATGTTTTGAGTATTTGTAGAGGATATAGATAAGGAAAATTAAAATTAGACAATACTTGAAATAAGTGTTTTTAATTATTATCATCAATGTGAGTATGATTAAGTTGTTAACAAATGGTAATTTCTAGTATTGATGAAAAGAAAGAGTTTAGAGAAGTGATACAAAATCTTCCCATAGCAACAAACGATACAATCATACTAACAATAATGTATCTTCTTAAATGTATTAAACACATTGTAAAAATGTTGGTGACTATACTAAGAAAAGAGAATGGCGTAGTGAAGTTAGTTGTTTATTGCACAATTATTGAGTATGGTTCTTACATTCTGGATAGGTGATCAGAAGAGGATTTTAGTTTGTGAGAAAAGATAAAATGGAATAGATGGACGTTATATATAACAAAAGCAAAATAACAAAAGGTATTTTAATTTTTTATTCAGCGTTTGAATCAAATAAGATTCTTCGCACGATTGGTCAATTAAATTGTCTTCCAAAATGACCAATCAATAATTTAGAGATTCAAAAGAACTAGTAAAACAAATAATTGTCCACTCACCATAACGCTTTTATTGAAAAGGATAAACTATGAATAATAGTTTAAGAAACTAAAAAGAATGGTACTAATTGTGAACAACTCACAGACCGATCACTATTTTTAGAGAAAAAGAAATTATAAATCAATATAAGAAAAGCTATACAAATAGTTCAGGAGAGGAAAACAAAGAGAAAAGATCTGATGACAAACAATCATCCCAACACTATCAAATGACCAAGATTGCATCTGCATTTGATTATAAGATCTATCGATTATCTGACCAAAAGATCATTGATGTGGACTACTCTAGATTATTACCTGAGAAAATTCTCACAAAAATGTCAAAAATAGAGTTTAGGTGTTATCTGAAAGAAGTCAAGAAAAGAGAAATGCCATTATCACAACAAGAAATCCTTTTAATTAAAAAAATTGACAAGAGGATCAGAAATAAAGAAACAGTAAGAAAGTCAAAGAAAAGATTTAAAGAAGATTTTATTCTTGAAAAAGGACAGTATGATACTCTCTATCATAAATACCAAGAAGTTAAACAGAAAAATTTAGAAATTATTAAAATATTAGAACAGTGTGGTCATTCAAAGGATGCTGTTTGTCAATTAAAAGATATGATGAACAATCTCAATCACAACTTTGTTCAATTTGAAATCTAGTTTATTATTTCTTTCTAATATCTACAACACCAAAGATCTTTTTAAAGAAAAGTTACTAGAGAGAAGGCAAGAAGAAAGAGTATCCTTATGGCTGAATATATTTATTTATTCTTTGACAAGCTACTAGGTCTAGAACAAGTTTATAATTCTTTGAATTAAAGATATTTTTATAATCATTTTTTGTTATTTTTTGTAACTCTTTCATTTTTTCTTCCTTTCGATTTTTCAAATAAAAGTATTGTTATTCATCACAGAATTTGATAAATTTGTGAATCTGATTCTTGTGAAAAACTACTTGAAATGTTCTTTATTCATTTGGTCTTACTTAGTACTGTAAGTCTGAATTAAAATGACCAATAAAGAGATAGTATATTTTTCTGTACCTTATTCTATTTTACATGTTATTCTTTTATTTTATAGTCCAATAATCAAAATAAACATTACTTTAAAATATATAGACTTCCACTAAAACAAGTATGTTAGACTATTTGTTTCTTCTTTTTTCTCAATGCCATTAATATTTAATGTAATCAAATATGTAAATTCAACTATTTAATATTTTAGTAATTTGGTATTAGTAATGGTTAGAATGGACCAAATCAATATTGTCATTGTTTTCAAAACTAAACAATATCAAAGTGAAGAAAATAAATTGAAAATATGACTTATAACCTCACTTTAAATACTCTTTATGAAAGAGAGAATTTAGTTCAGACCTTTGTTACATCGTATCTTTATCGTTTATAGTCTTTTAAAGTATTACAAAGGAAATATTAACAATTAAATTAAAATTAATCAGAGCCAATTACCAATTCTAACAAATTAAAACGGTTCTTTTTCAGTAAAGAAAATTCAGACCATATTTATAACTTTTATTGGACAACACAACACTATTCAAATTTGTAAAAAAAAAGAAGTAATTTACAATGAATATTCAAAAGATGCCAAGAAGTAAATATAATAATTTACGAGAAAGTAACATTCGGCTTATAGTCATTTTATCCTAACAAAGAGTTGAAGTGTTTTATTTTCTTATCCCACAATTAAATTCATCAAACACCTTAATGCTCTGAGTTTTCTCAATATTTAGTGTCTGATGAAATAATATTTAAATTACAAAATAATAATGTAAGAAAGAAGTATTTTTTTAATTTAATAATAGTAATATTAATTATTAAATAATTATATAAAAACTATGATATAAAGGAATTATATTTTTATGAAAAACTAAAATAACATACAAATTTATTTACATTTTTTTTCTTTTTTTTAATTACTTCTTTTATTTTTGGTAAAAATCCTTCGAATTTCAAATGACTCATAAATTTAGTTGAATTATTAGGAAAATTAGGACGTAAAGTCCAATTCTTTCGTACTTTATTTTTCAAATTCCTGAATCTCGTTAAATTAAATAGGAACAAAATGATAAAATTTTAATTTAAATCCATGCAGTAAGTATAAAATGATTTCAACTTTAATTGTGCTTTCTTAACTAAAATTCAATAAAATTTTATTTTTATTTAAAAATTATTTACATTATAATAAAAAAGCAATAAAATGATAAATCCATTTTATTTTAATTAAAACAATACCATCATTTTGGAATTGTCCTGTCATGTCCAAAATGATATGACACATTATCAACTTCAATATTTTTTTTAAGTGCCTGACAAAGGAATGATCCTAGTGTATCTTCTGATTCAAAGAATCTTGTGAATTTTAACCATCTTAAGAAAAATCCTAATTCTTCTTTTGACCTCATATTTCCCCATGCTCCCCATGCAAATTCTTTTGATGTATCAACCGTAAATCTTTTTTGTCCATAATAAGAACACCATCTATATGGACACCATGCTATTTTAGCATAACATTGGTTTTTTGGTCTTGTTTGTATGAGTTTGAGAACATGATGGAATGTATCTTTTTCATATAATTGGTCGTCTTCTGCTAATAAAACATAATCAATACTTTCATCTTTGTAAATTCTTTTTAATGCTTCGATGAAAAAGAAGTTAATTGTAATATGTTTTTGGTAAGTTGTTGGTTCCCAATCACCCTTAGTTGTATCTCCCCAAACTGCAGACAATGAATCTCTCATCCATTCCTCACCACCAACACCATCTATAGATGTATATTTATATGTTGGTGTTTTAACAGGAATAGATGGAAGTTCTTTTTTGATCTTCTCTAATGCATCATCCATTTCTTTATACTCACACCCTCTCACACATCCTTTGATCATCACTAATTCTTTAATATTTAATCCTTCTGGAACATTTTTCAGTGCTTCAACTAAGTCTCTTATTGATCTTGTTAGTTCTGGTCTTCTTTTTGGATGTGTGACAAGAACAATTGATAAATTGTATGTTCCACTAACAGTAATGACAAATAACAAGAGGGTCAATACAGAACAATTCATGATCTATTAATCTATTTTCACCACTTTTTTTTGAAGAGGATTTTAATAATTCTTTGTTAAACTTCTTTTTGTTTATCCTATTTATTTCTTCTTTCCATTAAAAACTTTTTATTATTTTATACACTTATTTTTTAATTAATATTTGAATTAAATATCCCTCAATTTACAATAACAGACACTACCCACAAACAGTGTTATCGATATTTTTATTGTATATTCTTTTTATGTAATTTGGTTGTCTTTTTCGTTGGTTATTTAACTATATAAAATTCCAATTGATATAAATAACATAATTCCATTTTAACTATCTATCAGATTATTTCACTATTTTATTCATAGTAGAGTACTTGGTTCATACTCTTATTAGAAATTTCATTATATGATTTGATTAAACATGAATATTTCTTATTTGTTTCCTCATTTTTATAAACATTCAATTTAATGAGGTTAATAGATGTTTTCTAATCTTTTGATATATTTATGATAACAAAATGAGTCTCTGTTAATTTGTTTTTAAATGAACTCTTCTGTTGTGCACTTTCAAAACAAACTGTTTTCATTATTTTAATTAACATTTAAATTATTAACTCAATTCATATACAAATAAATCAATACTTAAATTAGAATTACTGTAAAATCTGATTAATTATCACTTTTTTTATTGTCTTATTCTTTCAATCTACCCAATTAAATTCATAATACTTTGGGTGAATGATGATATTTATTTTTTAAAATCAATTTGGTTGTTGACATCATTAGCCATTAATAAGATGTCTTTGATGAACAAAAGAACTCTTTCAATTTCAATATGAATAGGTCCAGTGTTTGCAATCATATTTCTCTTTGACATTTACTTCTTTTTAAGTTATCTTCTTTATTTCTCTTTTTCAACATTCCTTGAATAGTTACTGGTATTTTTACTTATTTGACAAAGAAAGTGCAATTCTTCAAACAACGCATCAACCCATAGTGTATAAAAAGAAAGAATTCATAACCATACAATCCATGACAGAGTATGACGGTGTGATAAAAAAGAGGATAAAATTTAATAATAAAAACTAAAAAAAATATGATAATTCTATCAACAAAAAACATCCATGTTTATTAAACTTACTTTTAAATGGTGAATCAATAGACTCCTTACTCTAGCTTTTTGAACTATCACTAACATATAAGACTTTACTTGAGCTATCACATTCTCAATATTTTTTAAATAATGCTGAAGAGTATTACATATGTTTAACATGCTCAGAAGGGAAAGTTAAATGTTATTGTTTTGATTTATCATACCATGCAAACAATGTAACAAAAGAAGTCAATAAAATATGAATGTATCGATATGTGGTGTATTATAAATCAGAAACAAGAATTGTAAAAGACATATAAATGAAAGGGAGTAGAGAAATAATTGAAGAAAAAGAAGGATTAGAAAAATTTATCATTACATTCAGTTCAAAACTAGTATTTAGTATAACTAATTCAAAGTATCAAAATACAATGAAAGAAGTATCAAAATTATATTATATTCATAGGACTTTTTAATATAATTGAGAAATTGTATTCATAGAAGGAAGATGTTTATTATATATTATTTGAAAAGAATAATCAACTAAAAGAAACTGATTATCATTTTCTAACATATTATTTAATACTACTATTATTTTATCATCCATCATCATACCTATTTCCTTGTTTAATAAATAGACATAATGATAGATCTAAATTAGTATTATATGAACATTATTCAACAATTACATTTGATAACTGAAATATATTTTCAAAATGATACATAAAGAATTCTTAAAATAATTAACAATTCATTATTAATAACGATTAACAGAAATATCAAAAATTATAACAAACACAAGTTATAAAGGAAAAATTAAAAGATGTTCAAAAGTATTAAATCTAATTAATAAAGATATTAAAACATGTTTCAAAGAAAAGATATCATTATTGAAACAATGAAGACTCTATCAACAGTTTATGATAGATGTCAGAGTGATTGTAGTTCGTTATTTTCAGAATTTATAAGACTTTTTGAAATCATCACGAATTACCATAAAAACTATTAACAATATTTCTTAATAAGTTAGATTTTATCCCAACAAAAACATATAACTATTCTTACATGAATGTGTGCAAGTGATGACATAGAAAGTATCAATAATTATTCAGGTTTCTTTCCATCATTAATAGAGTTCAAGTATTGTTCTATAGATATCATGATTCCATCTAGCAGAAGAGTTAATGAAGAAGTAACTGTCGATTCATATAATATTTGAAATGAAAACTAATAAAAAGCAAGAAGTAAAATGTTTAGACGAATGAAAATAATGACACAACTCCATAAATTATGAGAAGAAAATACATATTAATAAGTGAAAAAAAATTATTAAAGAATAAAAAGTAAAGAATATGGAAAGAAAAAGTTGATGTAATTGTAAGGTATTATGTTATAAATCAAAAGAAATCTATAAAATAATGAATGAACTACATTTAACAAATATAAGAAGTAAAAAAGATAGATTAAATGATAAAGGTATAATGAAAATAATGAATAAAGTTCACCAAATATATAGTCAACAACCATTCTTTATTAATACATTTATACCTTTATTTCCTTAGTATTCAATAATTCAACAACATTTACTATATTATTAGAGAAGAAATGAAACTACCAGTAGGTAAACATAATAATATAGGAAGAAAAATTATATTAAGTGAGGCTCAATTAACAAAGATTACTGGAGAATTACCAGATTAACATTTTATTAATACGACATTATAGTAGAGAGTTGATACAATGGTATCACTAGTCAATAACAATTTTTTAACACCTCATATTATTCACATGCTCAAATGTATTAGAAAACATCGAATAATTAAAAGAGATACATTAGAATTTTTATAGGATATGAAAGAGTAACATTTAGTTTAAAGAATAATTTTCAAGAATAAGAAACTCAAAGAATAATTGTAAAGTTTAATAATTTAATAAAAGAAAATAAGAAAAAATAAAAAAAGGGAGAAAAAAGAGAAAAAAAGGAAATGGAGGAATTCTTGACAGAAATGAGTGAAGAAGAAATTGAAAATTCATGTAAGTCCTTAGCAAGAGTTATCTCAAGATCAAAGCACGTTGTTGTACTAACAGGAGCGGGGATATCAGTTTCAGCAGGGATTCCAGATTTTAGATCAAGAAATGGGATGTGGAAGAGATATGAGCCAAAAATTTATGGGAGTTATGAGAATTTTATCAAGAGACCAGAAATGTTTTGGAAAATGTGTAGTGAATTACGAAAGTATACAGAAGGAAAGAAACCAACAAAAGCACATTTTGCATTAAGAAAATTAGAGGAAATAGGAAAAATAGAAGAAATAATTACACAAAATGTAGATAATTTACATCAATTAGCAGGAAGTAGAAAAGTAAATGAACTTCATGGAACAGGAAAAATATGTCAATGTATTAAATGTGGATATCGAGGGAATGCAGATGTAATATTACCAAAAGGACTTATTCCATGGATTGATATTCCAAAATGTCCAAAATGTGGAGGACTTATTAAATTAGATGTAGTATTATTTGGAGAAGAATTAGAAAAAGAAAAATTTGAAAAAGCATTTGAAGTAGCAAGTATATCAGATGTTTTTTTAGTGGTTTGTTTATAAATTTAAAGAATAAAAAGAAGACTTAAAAGATAGATTGGAAGTTCATTAGAAGTAATGCCAGCAAATGCATTACCACGAAAAGCAAAAATGAATTCAGCAACAGTAGCATATATTAATAAAACAATAACACGATTTGATAATTATGCAGATTATGTAATTAGAGGAGAATCAGATTATTTAATACCAAAGATAGTAGAATATGTTATTGAATTTATGGAATTAAGTTGTGGAGAAAAAATAATAGATACAATTAGTTTTCCAATTGAATTTATTCAAAATCCAATAGAAATAATGACACAAATAGTTGCAACAATAGTAGCATGGATAGGACCTAAAGTAAAAGAAGAAGAAGTTCAAAATTGTCTTATTGATAGTTCAGAAATAATTGAAGTAGTAGGAACAAAAAAACAAAATATAAAAACGAAAGAAGAAAAAGAAAAAGAAAACAATGCAGCTGATAAAATTATGAATGAAATTAATAATTCAATTAAGAAAAGAAGAGATATTAAATAATAATAATAATAATAAATAAATAAATAATTGCAGTTGTATTATTTTATGTTTTGGTTAATAAATATTAAATAATTTTATCTAAATTTATGATTTTGTGTTATTTCATCAACAAGATGACAAATATTTAACATTTCTATTTCAGATGTTGCCATACAATTCATTATATAAAGAATTTTTTTATCAATTATATTCATTCTTTCATTTATTTGATTAATTAATAGATTTAAATATTCTTTTTCATATATTATTATTTCATTTCCTTTCTTTTTTTTAATTTCATTTTGTTCTTTTGAATATATTTGTTTTATTTTATTAACTATTTCATTATAAATTTCTTGTTTAAATTGTTGTTCATTTTTATTAGATTCTGTTGTTGGTTTGATTATTATATTTGATGAAATATTCTTTTTTCTTTCATCAAATATTTGTTTATTTTGATATTCATTATCTTTTCTTATTGTTTCATCTTCTTTTGTTTGTTCTTTATTATTTTCTTTTAAATATTTTATTTCTCTATTATTATCTATATATTTTGAATCATTTGGATCAAATTCTTCATTAATAAAATAATCAATCCCTCTTATTCTTCTCTTCTTAAATCCATATCTTTTCATTCTTTTCCAAAATGTTTTTATATTTTGACATTTAATATCCCATTTAAAACATTCTTTAAGTTTTTGTGGGTCAATTACTCTGATTGCTTTTTCTTTAGGATCATAATCAATACAATTTCTTCCATCTTTCTTATTGATTATTTCAATAACTTTTCGTATAAATTGTTCTTTTTCTTCCATCTTATTTTAATTCTTATTCTATTATATCTTTTTTTATTTCATTTTCTTTCTCTTCATTTAAATCTATGATTTATATCTAATATTCTTTTCTTTTATATCATAATCTTTATTAATAAAAAAGATTAGATGTTCATCTCTAACATAAAAGAATATAAATAATTTAGATATTTAATCTTTCATTTATTTTCTTTGTAGAAATCAAATAATTATCCTATTCTATTCAATTTTAAGAATGGTATTGATGATAAATGATGAATTCAAAAAACAAATAATATTTATTTGATAATAATTAGAAGTGATTCAGAGAAGAAAATACAAGAATAAAAATGATGGTATCAAAAAAGAAGAAATCAAAATAAAAAAAAAGAATAATAAAACAAGAAAAGAAAAAGAAATATAACTAGAAAATAAGAAATGGAAATAGAAAGAATAGAATGTAAAGATATTGATTGGAGAGTTTCAGTGACATTAGGAAGTGATAAAATGGCAAATATCGAAGAGATGAATTTACAAATATATATTCAAGGAAAAAAAGAAAAAGAGAAAAAGGTTATAGAATTTACAATAGAAGAAGCAGAAGAATTTGTAGAAGAACTTGTTTCAATAGCAAAAGCAATTGAGAAGTGAATATAATTTTTAACATTGGTTCAAAAATAATAAAAGAAAAAAGAGAAAAACTCAAGAAAAATAAAAAAAAAAGATAAAGATGTCAAGAAATAAACCACTATCAAAAGAAGAGAAACGACAACGATTAAAAGCATTATTTAATGAAACAAGAGAAGTTTACTTAATAAAAGAATTAGAAAAAATAGCACCAAAAGAAAAAGGAATTGTTAGTAAAACAGTAGAAGAAGTATTAAAAGAACTTGTTGATGATGGAATTGTTCATTCAGAAAAGATAGGAACATCAGTATATTTTTGGGCATTTCCAAGTGAAGAATTTGTTAATAAAAAAGTTGAAAGTGAAAAAATAGAAAAAGAAATAATAGAAAATCAAAAAAGAATTAAAGAATTTAAAGAAGAAAATGAAAAATTAAAAAGAGAACGAGGAGGAGATGAAGGAAGAGAAATAAAAGAAAAAGAAGTAGAAATGTTAAGAGAAAGAAAAGAACAGATTATTAAAGAATTAGAAATTTATAAAGAAAATGATCCAAATATGATTAAACAATTAAAAGAACAAGTTAAAAAAAGTAAAGAAGCAGCTAATAGATGGACAGATGGTATTTTTATGATTCAAAAATATGCAAAAGATAAAGTATCAGTTCCAATTGAAGAATTAAATAAAGGACTTGGAATTCCAAATGATTTAGATTATTTGGATTAAAAAAAAAAAAGAATAATTAAAAAAAAAAATAAAATTTTTTATGAATATTGTTTACATTTTCCATTTTTAAAATGAGAAGAAGTATATTCTTGCATACATAACCAACAAAATTGATATCCACAATTTACACATGTCATATGATTACATCCTCTATTTTTTTCTATTGTTGCATTACATTTTGGACATTTTCTTGTATTTTTTTGTGCCCATGATAAAAATCTTTTATCAGCTTCACAATTCATTCGTTTCCATTCTTGATATTGTGAACATGTTAATCCTGAATGCCATATTTCTTTACAATTAAAACAAAATTTAATTTTCTTTTTTTTACATTCTTCATTTTGACATTCAATTTCTGGTATATTTGGATCTCCTATTACACCTGTACCACATTGTGGACAATATCTACAATTATTTTCTTTTTTTAAATATTCTTGAATACTATATCGTTCATATCTTTCTATAAGTTCTTGATCTATTGGTTGATGTCTTCTTATAATTTGATATACTTCTTCAAATGTTATAATATGACAACAATTAGATTTTGGACATCTTATATTAACTACACCATTAAATATTTTTTCATGAATATGTTCATAACAACACTATTTCTTTAATTTTTCTTTTTATTTATTTATTTTATATTAAAACAAACATCTATACAAAATTTATGTCCACAATCAAATATATAAATATCTTGAATTTTAATATCTGAATAACATATATCACATGTATATTCTTTATTTTCAATTTCTTTTTCTCTTTCTTTTTGTTCTTTTTTCATTATTTCTTTTGTTTCTTTTTCTTCTTTTTCTTTTCTTTTAATAAGATTTTGTATTGTTTGGATATATTCTTGTTTATAAATTTCATAAAGTATTGTTTTTGTATCTTCCATTCTTTCCTTTAATTTTTTAATTTTTAAGTTATTTTTTTTTATTAAATAACATAAATGAAATAATAATCTTAAAAAAAAACTAATTTAAAGAAAATGGAAGGAAATTATTACCAACAACTAATTGGGAATCTTGTTAGAAAAGTATTCAATTATATTGTTATTCATAATATCCATGAAAATCAAATATGGATTTTATTAATTGAAATGTTAAATATGGTAGAACACAATAATATACTTAATTATTCATTTAAAATGATTTCATATGAAAAAGAACAAGGAAGAGAAATATTAAATTTCATAAAAAAAGAAATAATAAAAATGAATATTAAAGAAGAAATTGTTATTTCATTTATTTATTGTTGTTTAAATAAAATTAAAGGTACAAATAAAGAATATTATGAACTTATTCAAAAATATAATATACCAAGAAATAGTAATGAAGGATTACTTTGTATTCATTATAATCTTCTTGAAATAATAGAATGTATTAAAAGAAAGAAAAAAGAAGAAGAAACAATAATATATATTGAAAAAAATAAAGAAATTTTAAATAAATTTCCAAAAGATACAATAAATCCAATAAATATATGGAAAGTTTATAATTTTAATTTTGAATTAATAGGAATTCAAACATTACTTAATGAAATGAGTATATATTTAAAAGAAGAACAAATAGAAAATAATAATAATAATAAAAAAGTTATTGAAAAAATTATTGAAATGATAGGATTAATATGTAATATAAATGAAGAATATCTTATTATGTTTAATAACATTAAAAGAATAGAAATACCAAAAGAAATATATTTTAATGCAGAAATAATAGAAAAATTTGAAATACCAAAATATCTTGGAAAAATAATATTAAGAATAACAGGAATTGCAATATATCAAAGAATATCACTTCTTGAAATAACAAGAATATATAGATGTTATTCAGGAATACTTAATATTAAAGAAAGCGAAATAATTAATATATTTTATACAAATGGATATAAATTATATCAAGAAAAAAAATATTTAGAAGCAATTATTGTTATTAATACATTATTTTCAATTAAGAAAACAATATTTAAAGAAAAAGAAGATAAAAGAATTGAAGAAGCAGAAAAAATAAGAATGTTATCAAGAAAAGCAATTGGAAAAGAAGAAGAAGGAATTAATGAATTAATAGAAAAAATTAAGAAAATAGAAGATAAAAAAATAATAGAAAAATGGAAAATAATTAAAAGAATAGATGATATAATAAATAAAACAAAAGAAATAGAATATTGTATAGAAGAAATTTTAGGAAGTTTAGAAAGAAAAGGAAATAAAATAGAAAAAGAAATTATTATAGAAATAATAGATATTGGAATTACATTTGAACCAAGAATAATAAATAATATAACAGAAAATAAAAGAAAAATAATAAAAAGAATAAGTCAAGAAATGGAAAAATATTATAAAGAAAAACATATAATACCATTTGAAGTAATTAGATTTAAAATTTATGAAATAATTGTTGAAAAAGATAATAATATAAATAAAAAAGAAAAAATAGAAAATATTATTGAAGAAATTAAAAAAAAAGAAGAAGAAAAAATTTATAATAAAACAAAAGGAATTGATATTCTTATTACATTAGCAAAATGTTATTATTTTAAATATATTATAAATCTTTATAATATAGAAAGAAAAAATAATGATGAAAATATTATTGAAATAATGAAAACATTAAAATATTTAAATACAATTAATCAAAAATATAATAATGAAGAAATTAATAAACATAAAATGGAAATTATACCACTTTTAATTATTATAACAACATTATTTGAAATGTATGGAGATCAAACAAATCAAATTAAATGTATTGAAAATATTAAAGAAATAATAACAAAAATTTCAATAACAAATGAAGAAAGAATTAGTTGTTATTTAAAAATTATAGAAAGTTATATTTCAATGGGATATATAAAAAATGCAGAAATAATAAATGAAAGAATTGAAAAAATTTATAAAGGAATAAATATAGAAGGAGAAATAATAATAAATTATATTATGTATTTAATTATGAAAATTAAAATTGAAATAGAAAAAATTAATCAAGAAGATAGAAATATTAATAATTTAATTAATCAAATAAATATATTAATTAAAGAAGAAAATTTTAAGAAAAAAAATACAGAATGGGAAAGAATTATAATAAAAACAAAATTAAAAGATGTTATTAGTTTATATTATTGTAAAATAGGAGATTATAATAAAGGAATTGAATATAGAAAAAAAACACTTTGTTTAATGAAAAAAATAAGTGAAATAAAAAATAAAGAAATTAAAACAAAAAAAGGAATTTTTTTTTATACAATATATTCTTTTATTGGAAATATAATTGAATCATATTTAAAATATGGATGGATATTTGAAATAAAAAATAAATATAAAGAAGCGTTGATGTCTTATCAAGAAGCAGAAAAAATAGGAATAGAAACTGGAAGTTTATTAAGACTTATTGAAATAAAAACTCAAAAAGGAGAATTAGAAATGAAAAAAAGAAATTATGAAGAAGCAAAAAAAGAATTTAAAGAAATAAATAATATTTCATGTAAAATTAAAAAATATGTTTCTGTTAAAAGAAATATGATAATGACATTCATGGAATTAGGTGATTTATATAGAAAAACAAACCACTATAATACATCAATGGAATATTATCAAATTGCAAAAGAAATAATAGAAGAATTACTTCAAGAAAATATTATTGAAACATTTCCATTAATATTAAGAGATTCAACTACAAGAGAATCTTTAATTAGAGAATCTTTAAAAGGAAAAATTGAAAGAACAATAATAGAAGAAGAAGAAAAAGAAAAAGAAGAAAATATAAATAAAGAACCAAAAAATATATCAGAAGTATATCAAGAAATAAAAAATCGAATTTTATATAAAATAATTAAATTAAATAATATTAAAACAAAAAATAATATAAAAAGTATTCAAGAATATAAAGAATTATTAAAATCACCATTTAATTCACCAATAACAAAAGCATGTATTTTAAATCAAATTGGTATTAATCAAATAGAAAATAAAGAAATAAAAGAAGGAAATGAAACATTTAAAAAAGCACTTTTAATAGCTGAAAAATATTGTGAAGTAAAACTTATTCATTGTATTATACATAATATTCTTAGATGTAATAATTTAAATAATAAAAAATGTTATTATCATATAATGTCTATTGGAATAACATATAGAGAAATAGAAAATATAAAATATAATAAAATAAGAATAGAAGAAAAAATAACAATTAAAGAAATTGATAAAAATTTACCAAAAGAATGGACAATTATTTGTCTTTCAATAGATGAAATTGAAAAATCAATTGTTATTAGTAATATAAATAAAGAATATAATGGAATTAATGTCAGAAGAAAATTAAAAAAAGGAAAAGAAAATGAAATTGAAAAAGAAATTGAAAGAATAAAAATAATTAAAAAAGAAATTGAAATAATTTTTAGTGAAATAAATGGAAAAGAAATAACAGAAAATGATAAAAGAAAACATTGGAGAAAAGTTTTTGATATTGATAATAGAATTAAAGATATTTGTTATTCATTAGAAAATAAAGTATTAGGATGGTTAAAAATTATTTTTTATCCAAGAAATTATTTTAGAACAAAATATAATGATAATCTTTTATATTCAATAATTAAAAATATAATAAATAAAGAAATTATAGAAATTGATATTTTATATTTACTTATTATTCATTTTAATAAATTAACAAATGAAGAAATTAATGAATGTCTTAATTATATATTAGGAATTGAAATTAATCCATTAATAATAGAAATTTTAATTAATCAATTTAAAAATATTAAATTACAAGAAAAATTAGAAATTCAAAATAAAAGTATTTTATTAATTCTTGATAAACAACTACATTGTCTTCCTTGGGAATCAATGCCTAATTTTGATAATATAATGATTACAAGATTACCTTCAATTGAACCTTTTTTAATTCAAAAATTAAATAATATTAATAATACAATTCCTGGAATTTTATTTAATGGAAAAAGAGGTTATTATATTATTAATCCAACTCATGATTTAATTAAAACACAAAATAAATTATTACCATTAATTAATAAATTAAATTGGAATGGAATTTATAATCAAATCCCAAATGAAGATCTTATTTTAAAAGCTTTATATGAAAATGATATAATTTTATATTGTGGTCATGGAAGTGGAGAACAATTTATTCATGGTAAAAAAATTAAATCTTTAAATAAATGTGGAATTGCATTTCTAATGGGTTGTAATTCGGTTGAACTTAACCAACAAGGTGATTTTGAACCATCTGGTTTACCAATTGATTATCTTCAAGCCGGTTCTCCTCTTGTATGTGGAAATTTATGGAGTGTTCCTGATAATGATTTAGATAATATTACAATAGAATTATTAAATTGGTTAAATTCAAATTCTTCAAATAATCAATATTTAATTAATATCCTTAATAATGCTAAAAAAAAGTGTATTTGTAGATATTTTATGGGTGCTTCATTAGTATGTTATGGTATTCCTGTATTAAAGAAAAATATTAATGAATCAATTATTATTAAAGATAATTATTAGTATTTATAATAAAATTTATAATAAAATTTATAATAAAAATTAAATTAAAAAAAAAATAAATAAATAATAATAAAAAGAGATATATTATTAAAGAAAGATGTCAATCCATTCATTAGATAAAATTAATAAAGTAATTTTAAGTAAAAACATTAATGAATATATTAATATTGTTGGTGACGAAGTTAAAGAGAATTTAGAAGAATTAAAAAGAATTGATAAAGAAATTGGAGAAAAAGAAATTGAATATCAAATTGAATGTTTAAAAATTGAACAAGAAAATGAAAAAGATCTTAAAGAAATTCTTGAAATTAGAAGAGCAATTATTAATGGAATAAATTATAACCAAAATAAAGAAATAAAAAGTTGTGGAATTCCTAATTTTTGGATTGAAGTATTTAATGAAGTTGGATTAATAGGAAATTTAGAAGTAAGTAAAGAAGAAATTGAAATACTTCAATCATTAATTGACATTGAAAAACATATTAAAGAAATAAAAAAAATTGAAGGAAAAGAAGAAATTTATGTAAATATTCATTATAAATTTATCTTTAAACAAAATCAATTTATTTCTAATTTAATATTTGAATTTGAATTAGAACATTGTATTAATCGTTATGGTATTATTATTGATGAAACTAGAAATTATATCCCATTAAATCAATTTAAATGGAAAAAACAAATTAATGAAAAAAGAATGTTTAATCTTCTTGAAAATGGTGGAAAAAATCTTCATTTTTATTTACAAGATGCATTAAATAATATTAATTTTATTGCAATTGATTTGTTTTTTGGAATTAATACACAAAATCTTTTTCTTGATTCATTTAGTATTAGTGATAATGAATCTGAAAATAAAAGTATTAATGATGATGATGAATGTGTTGATTATTCATCTCATCTTTAAATAAAAATTATTTACTTAATATTTGAAGTATTTGACGTATTAATTGATTGGATTCTTCAGTCTTTTCTTTTAATTGTTTAATTTCTATTCTTTGTTCTTGTATCATTTTTTTCATTATTTTATTTTCTTCTTTTAATCTTTCAATTTCTTTTTCTTCTTCTTTTTTATTATCTCTTGTTTGTACAGTAGTTTCTGTTCTTTTTTCTATAACTTTTGGTGTTAATTCTTTTTTTGATTTAATTACACTATTAGATTGTTCTATTAAATATTCACTTTCTTCTTTTATTGGTTTTTTTATATTATTTATTGTTGGTGTTGAATATGGTTGGATTGTTGGTGTTGAATATGGTTGAATTGTTGGTGTTGAATATGGTTGGATTGTTGGTGTTGAGTAAATTGGTGTTGTTTTCGGTAGAATTGGTAGAATTGGTTTTTGTAGAATTGTTGGTTTTTGTAGAATTGGTTGAATTGGTTTTGATTGAATTGGTTGAATTGGTTTTGATTGATTAATTTCCTGATTTGGTGTATTAAAAAATTTAGGTAATATAGATGAATTAATTGGTTGTGTTTTTGGAGTAGTTGGTCTTTTAATTTGGAATGCTTGTGAGTTAATGTCATAATGTTTTGTTTCAAGTTGATTCAAATTAAATACAGATTGTGTATTACTTGGATTTTGTTGGGTTGTGTGGTATGATGATGTAAATGGAGTTTTATCTTTCTTTTCTTCTTGTTTTTCTGTTCTTTCTCCTATTTTAGTTGTTAACATCTCATCGATTTGTTGTTGACAATCATCTAGATTTCCATTACATCGTTGAAACACATCTTCTATTGTTTCTTTAGCTATTTCTTTTCCATACTTTGCTATGAGTGTTTCCATTATTTGTATTTTTCAAATCTTTTAATTTATTATTTATTATTTTATTAATCAAAACAAACCTCATTTTTGTTTTTTCATCTTTTATTATCCATCTAATAAACTCAAACTACTTATTTTTTTCTTTCTAAACATTCTCTCAAGTAATTGATTCTTATTTTGTTCTAATCTTAAAATCAAATCTTCCAAAAACATAATATTAGAGACAATAAAAGAGCCAAAAAGTTACAACAAAAATAAGTTCATAATATAAAGAATCACACTAAGAATTTTAAGTAATCATATCATTATTTTCAATACAACAAACTACTAATGCATAAGTAATACAAAACATTCTTGTTATATATCAAGTTGATGAAAATATTAAGAAAGAATGGTGTTTCCATTATGTTCAATTTCAAGTATTGAATTTAGAAATCTATAAAATTGGTTTATTAAAGTAGATAAAAACAAATCTGGTACACTTGAACTTATTGAATTAAAGACTGTAAGATGACCAAATGGGTGGTTAAATTAGATGATAAAACATGTAAACATTTAATGAGAATATTTGATATTGATATTTTAATATCTATTTCATTTTATGAATATCTTATAATAATGAAATTTGTTGATTTAACTACTTTAATTTTTAGAAAATATGATATTGATAAAAGTGGTAATCTTGATTTAAAAGAGATTCAATTTTCATTTCTTGATCTTAGATTTGATCTTAATACTAAATCATGTTAAGTTATTACAAAATTATGTAGAAATGGTTTATTTTCTAAAAAGATTCAACTTCCTCAATTTATTGGTTGTATTGCTTATCTTGGACAAATTAGAACTATTTATCAACATAGATTTAAACAAACACAAAGTGATTTTTAATAGACCTGTTTTTGCTAAATTCCTTAATTTAATTATGTCACTTGTTGATGGTGTTTAATTATTTCAATTACTTTTCTTTTAAATTCTTTGTTTTCTCATTTTTATTTTTCTTCATCTCTTTCATTTCTCACTTTTATCTTCTTAAACTCTTTTTTTATTCTTTATTATTATTATTATTATTATTATTATTATTATTATTATTATTATTATTATTATCTATTTTATCATTATTATTACATTCTTTTAATTAAACTCCTTTATACTAATATTTATTTTTTGAATTTAATATATATTGTATTATCATCAATTTTGAACTATTCCAATATTAATTAAATAATTATTCTTAAACATCAACTCCAAATATTTATCTTCTTATTCATTTCTTATTTAACTTTTGTAAATCTTCTCAAAATGTTTATTTAAGAATAAATTTCAAATTAATTATAATCTTATTGGATGATTTGAGAAGTAATTTCTTCACACTTAGAGTTCTTTGAATGATAACATATCTTCTTGATATTTTTGTTCTTTGAAAAGTATTATTTAAAGATAATTATCACTCTATCATGATTTAGTATCATGTTCAATTAAATTTCTTACTATTGGTTGTATTGTTTTATTATTAAATGTTTCTTTTATTAACCAAATCTATTAATTCAAAAAATCAATAATTAACTTGTTATTGTTGTCTTAATGAATAATAAATTGTTGTCTTCAATCTTAATTATTGATTTATTATAGAATTTATGATTTTATAAAACATAAAGAAGAATGAACAAAACTAAACATAAAATATGTGATAATAATAAATGAATATAGAAATATATCTTATTATAAACATTTTATTATTATTTAAAATATGTTATTCAGTTAATGAAAATAAAAATAATGATTATTTATAGTGTTGGAGAATACTTAGAATTGTTATTTTTGATATAAAATTAAATAAATTATTTGATTTTGTATTTAACAATATCATTTTATGTATATATTATTTAAATATTTATTTATTATATCATAATAGCATCACTATGATTTTTATAAACATAATAATTCTTATCAGTTTATAAATCTATTCATCAGTTAATTGAAGTTCTTATTATTTTGTTTCTTTATCTTTCTTTATAAATAATGAAATAAATAATTAAATACAAAATTTAATTCATCATATTGAAATATCATTTTCATTTATTTATTTTTATGTAAACTAATATTATATCTTTTATTATCAATTATTTTAATGTTTTTTATCATTCTTCATTGTTAATCTTATTTATTTCTTTTTCTATAATCTTGACTTATGATATAATTCATATTTCTGATTTCATTGTAATTCAAAAATATGAATCATTTAACGTATTTGAATACCAATTTTGTTCTTATCATAATTGACATTTTCATTAATAAGTTCAATATATTGATTAACTAATATTATTCTAATACCACAATAATTTTAATTTAAATATTTGAAATCTATTTTGTATATTTTCTGTTAAACAAATAGAGTGACATTTCATTTTAATTCAAATGTCTATTTAGTTGTATAATATTTACTGAAGAATGATGCTAATTTTTTTATTTTTTAACAACTTGAAATTAATTTGTGTGTTATTTTCAATTCCTAAATAACCTCATAAATTCAATACCCATATGTTTATTTTATCTTTCAACATTTGAATGGAATCAATTATTGATTCAACTACAAAGTTTATGAAAGAAAATGGAAATGAAATAACAAAATGGACAGCAGAAGTATCAGAAACAAGTTATTCTGTAAGTATGGCATGTTCTTGTTTATCATCTTTATTCAGTTGTTTTGAATCAACACAAGACTTGAGTAAAGACTTAAATACATATGCAGAAATTAGTGGTAACATTGCATTAGGACTTCATGTTTGTTCTAATGTATCAAAAGTAGCAACAAAACTCTCAAAAGAATATCAAAATAATAAAGGATATCTTCAAGAAAGAACATACCCAGGATTTCTCAATAGTACGAGCACAATAGAAGAATTAATTGATGGAACTGATCAAAATGAAGAATTGTATCTTTGTTAGATACACATTTTGGTAATAAAGAATAGTTAATTTAGTTTCAGTAGATATTGATTTTTATATTTCATTTTGTATATTTGAGATTATTTCATTCTATCAAGTGTATTGTTATGAACTAGTTTTATATCTCTATGTTCACCTCATGGTTTCCACATTCTTGTGTTAAATATCTCATAATTATTATATCTGTTTTACTTTATTTTATGTTTCAACACAATAACCACTTCTCTTTTTATATTCTTCTTTTGGTTCTACTTATTTTATTATATTGAAGAATAGTTTGATTTTATTCTTTATTTCTTCATTATTTATTATATTTATTTTACATTTAATTTAGTTATTTTTAATCATATTCATTAAATCATGTTTATCAATTTGTATGTTTTTATTTACAATATAATTTAATAATACCTGTTCAATTAATGATATTTTACCTGTATAAATATTACACCACTTTAGTTGATCATTTCATGTATTTAATGATTTGTTAAATCATACAAATGTACCACTCTCATCCGTTAATTTTAATTATTTATATTCATTTAATTTTTTCTTCTCATTTATTATTCCTTTATTTTTGATAAACTAACATAAACAAAGAAATATAAAATAAAATAAATAAAATAAAAAAGAAATAAAAAAGAATAAAATAAATATTTTATTATATTTTTATTTATCTTTTATTCTTATTTCTTTTTATTATTTATTAAATTAACACATTGGGTGTGATTCTTTCAAATGAAATAAAACAAGAATGAAATATGTCCATTTTTATATTCATCATTTCATTCATTGATAGATGAAATGTTCATATTCATTTATTGATTTTATTTTATATTCTTTTTTATTTTTATATTTCAAATAAACAATAATGAATAAAAATCATTTCATTTCAATTACAATAATTCGTTGTGGTGTGAAACAAGTAGTTAACCAATGTTTTCCACAAAGTGCATTTGATATTCCTTTATATGAAAATGAAGACTGTCTACAATATGACCATGTTTTATCATTTTCTTTAAAAATACGAATATCATTTCCATTTCCAAATTCAAACAAACAGTCACTTGATTGATTGCCTAAATAAAATGCATATTGTGGTTCTTCAATATCAAATTTCATCATTCCTTTTATTCTTCCTTTTGATTCTATTGAAAATAAAAATGATTT